TTGAGACCAGCCTGGTCTACAAGAGCTAGTTCCAGGACAGCCTCCAAAGCCACAGAGAAACCCTGTCTCAAAAAAACCATAAAAACCAAAAAAAAAAAAAAAGCCCAAATTAGACAGTCATGTGGAAGGATTTGAATTCCATGTTAAGTTTAAGTTTTATCCTCCACTAATTAAGCATTATTGTTTTTATGGTATACTCTGTATTTTTTCCTGTTTTTTTTTTTTTTTTTTTTTTTTTTTTTTTTTGAGACAGGGTTTCTCGGTATTGTTTTGGAGCCTGTCCTGGAACTGTTTCTGTAGACCAGGCCTCCGGAGTGCTGGGATTAAAGGCTTGTGCCACCACCACCAGGCAGTATACTCTATTCTTTTGTGTGTGTGTGTGTGTGTGTGTAGGAGACAAGAAGTCAATATCAGTGTCTTCCTCTATTGTTCTCCACTTTATTTTCTTTTTTTTTCTTTCTTTTTTTTTTGGTTTTTCGAGACAGGGTTTCTCTGTGTAACTTTGGAGCCTATCCTGGCACTCTCTCTGGAGACCAGGCTGGCCTTGAACTCACAGAGATCCGCCTGCCTCTGCCTCCTGAGTGCTGGGATTAAAGGCGTGCGCCACCAACGCCCAGCCTCCACTTTATTTTCTTGAGATAGAGTCTTTCCCTGAGCTGTCTGGCTAACGAGCGTCAAGGATCTGCCCCAGTACTGGGATTACAAGTGCAAGCAGTCAGGGATCTGCCCCAGTACTGGGATTACAAGTGCAAGCAGCCAAGCTTGGCTTTCAAGTGGGTGCTGGGTTGATGTGTGCAGCATGCACTTTCGTGATTGAGTCCCAAATGCTCTTCTACTGTTCCCTCCTTGTACCTAGGCAACCACTCTACTGAAAGCTTTAGCTTTTTTTTTTTTTTTTTTTTTTTTTTTTTTTTTTGGCAGGCCGTGGACTTGAAACTCTCTCACAATTCAAGTAGGCCTTGAACTTGCAAACCTGTCGTCGGTCTCCTGAGTGTTGACAATGCTTGAGCCACCATGCCTGGCTTCCAACCCCCCTCTGTGTAACAGGCTGTCCTGGAATTCACTCTGAAGATCAGGCTGGCCTGGAACTCACAGAGATCCCACTTGTCTCTGTCTCCGGAGTGCTGGGATTAAAGGGATGTATCACCACTGCCCTGTTCTTTTAGTATTTCACAACAAGGTTTCTCTGTATAGCCTTGTTGTGTACCACCCCTGTCTGGTTATTTTCGCCTTATCTTCTGGAGACAGAATCTCTCACGGAACCTGGAGTGTGTAGATGGTCAGTGAGTCCCAGCGATCCTCCCGTCTCCTCCACAAGCAGTCTTAGCCACTGAGTCCTCTCTCCGGACTCTCACGTTACGTTTTGCAGTGTTGTTTCCTGGCCATGCTGGACTCTTCCCATTGCATGTGTCAGATTGTTCTGTGCTAACTGGCTAGTCTTGTGTGAAAATAGGCTGTCCCTGTGTGAAGATAGGAAGTCCTCTGTGAGGACAGGCTATCCCTTTGTGAACACAGGAAGTCCCGTGTGAGGATAGGCTAGTCCTGTGTGAGGATAGGGTAGCCAGACGTGAGGGACAGGTAGGGCAAGTGCTGTCCTCCTTCTCAATCCTACTCATACAGTGTGGTCCCCGAAGTAATTTGCTAAATGTAATAAACATAATACAAGGACAGACATTGGGCTGTTTGGTTTAAGCATTCCTGCGTGTGGGTCTTGGTCCAACACAAGTATCTGTTGGGTAAATGGCATCACTGGAGCCATATCATGACCAGCTTAGTGGAAGACCATGTAAGCAAAGAGGTCAGCTCATCCAGCCTCCAAACCAGTTGAATACCACCTCACAAGCAACCCCACGATAGACTGTGGAAAGAAATGCTCAACTAATTTAGAATAAGCAATACTTCACTGTTGTTTTAGTCTCTTGAATTTGCATATGAATGTGCAGTGCTGGGGTGGAACCTGAGACCTTAGGCATACTAGTCAAGTTACCACTGAGCTGTGTCCTCAGCCTTGGGTTTTGTTTGGCAGACAGGGTCTCACTGTGTAGCCTTGGTTAGCCTAGAACTCACAATGTGAAACGGGCTGGCCTGGAATATACAGTGACACCCCTGCTTCTGTCTCTCAATTGCTGAGATTACACATACCACCGTGTCTGGCCTGAACTCCCAATTTCTAAGATACTCGTTATACAGCAATACTAGCTGACACAGAAATTAGTAGCAGATGTGGGTACATGAGAATTTAAATGTGCCTTTGGCTTCTGAACACAGTGGGTGGGAGCTGGAAAAGCAGAGACTGTCAGAGGTGGAGGAAGAACTGGCTATTCACGAAGGGTCACCGGGCTGAGAATGAATGCCAGTGTCACTGAAGGCTAGAGGGACTGAAGTGTGACAGACAGCTGTGAGTAGGGTGGAAAACAACCCCTGTAGCAACATGAAATTTGTGTCACATAGCTCATGGATTTTCAGAGTAAGCTGGGAGATTTCCAAGGCAGGTACTGAAAGAACCATTTGGCTTCTGAGAAGTATACGATGTTATAAGAGGGGTGAATGTTGGGTTTGTAAGCAACCACACAGCTGGCCAAGGATGGAAGGGTTAGAAAATGAAACTTCTAACTTTCTTCACCTTTGGTCAAGACTTCAGAAAGCAGCTGTGTATGGTGGCAAGCCTGTAATCAAGCACTGGGGAAACAGGGGCAGGAATGTTGCTGCATATTCAAGGCTGTCCTGGGCTACAACAGAGTGAGTTCTTATCTGGGGAAGAAAAATAGAAGAGGGCTGAATTGAGCCGTGGCCTGAACTTCAAGTCTTTGGAAGGTTACAAAGCTCTTAAGAATGACGTCGGGGTGGAGAGATGGCTCAGCTATGAAGAGCACTGGCTGCTCTTCCAGAGGTCCTGGGTTCAATTCCCAGCACCCACATGGCAGCTCACAACTGTCTGTAACTTTGCCGGGCGGTGGTGGGCACGCTTTTAATCGCAGCACTCGGGAGGCAGAGGCAGGTGGATCACTGAGTTCGAGACTAGCCTGGTCTACAAGAGCTAGTTCCAGGACAGCCTCCAAAGCCACAGGGAAACCCTGTCTCGAAAAACCAAAAAAAAAAAAAAAAAAAAAAATGACATTGGTGCAGAAACAGACAGTATGGGGGGGGGAGATCTGGGGGGGTGGAGGGTGGGAAGTGAAGGGGAGGGCAAGGAAAATTCTGCCCTCTTACACCACAGACTGCCTCATCATTAGAACAGAGTCAACTCTGGTTCTCAGCAGCTCAGGATCGAGGATACATATCAAGCTGGAAGTCCAAAACTTTCCCAGTTACTAAGAGAAAGGAAACCAGGACTGCTCCAGGTCCTTTACTTAGACCCCTGTGGTTTCCAAATCTGAACCTTTCTACAGAAACAGGAAGTTGGCCTCCCAGGGAAGAAAAGTCACAATATGGCTAGGTGCCATTTCCCAGCGTTTCTATCAGAGCCCTGTGAAAAAGAGCTGGAAAAGAAGGCTCCCTGTACTGGTGAACTTGTGGGATCTGATCTGCCCTGAACTATTTGTGAGGGCAGCAGAAAATCAAGGAGCAAACCCTGTTTTACCCTTTGGAGAGACCCTATACAGCACCCTGGGGGGTTGGGGTACTGCTGCAACTCCAGTGGTCCCCAGTGTTCTCTCTGTGAGGGCACTGCTGCCTCCACACCTCCTGTGTACCTTCAGCCTCTAGTGTCCCTGCCTCCCTTGTGTAGAGTCGCTGGATGGTGGCATCGATTCCCTGTGGGGAACGGCACTGATGATGGAACCCCATCACCAGTGGTCTTCACTGAAGACATTCTGGTTTCTGGGTGGGAGTTCAGGCTCAGGAACACAAGCCTTCCACGGGCTGATCCACTCCTGCTTCCTGCTTAGTCCCAGGAGGCCTCCACCTCTGGCAGTCACCATCAACCTCTTAGGACCTCAAGATCCTCAGAGAAACAACAGGAACTCAATTGTTTTCTCTCTGAGGAACCATAAAATCTCAAAATGCCGTACCTGTGACTTTTCTCTACCCCAGAATGAAATGTAAATTTAAATGGGGGAAAACTAGATGTGAAAACAAAACATATCTAGTTTTAAAATTTAGTAAATTATTATTGGATCATACCAACTGAAAAAGATTAAATTGTCTGGGTGTGATGGCTCATGCTTATGATCCCAGCATTTGGGAGGCTAAGGTGGCAGGGTCTTCATGAGTCTGAGGCCAGCCTGGGCTACAAAGTGGGACTCAGAAAAAAAGATTAAATAGTTCACTCTGAAGCTAGGCTATGTAATATACAATATGCAATCCTAGCATTTAGAGTTGAGGCAGGAGTATAACAAGTTCAGTGTCAGCTTGGACCACACAGCAAGACTCTGTCCCAGTAAAAAGGATAAAATAGCAAGTTGTTCATTGCTTCTAATAAAATGACCAATTGACAGGCGTCAAATAGAATGGGTTTAGAGCACTGCCTCCTCCTAGTGGCCACTCTTGACTAGGAACATTCTTTGGGAGTTTGATCTCAGTTCATTTATGACTACTGTTGGTAAAAAATTCAATAATATAGAACTTTGAAGAATGAAACTAATAATTGCTTGGTTCCCAAATCTCATTTTATAATTTAGCATATAGTTGGCCATGGTGAACTATGCCCACTCAAGACTAGCCAGGTCTACACAGTGTGAGTTCCAGGCTAGCCAAAGCTAGAGAGTGAGATCCTGTCTCAACCAACCAACCAACCAACCAACCAACCAACCAACCCACCCACCAACCTACCAATTAAACCAAACAAGACCAGGCAGTAGAGGTGCACACCTTTGATCCCAGTACTTGGAAGGCAGAGGCAGGTGGATCTCTGAGTTTGAGGCCAGCCTGGTCTACAGAGTGAGTTCCAGGACGGCCAGGACAACAGAGAAACCCTGTCTTCAAAACAAAACAACTGTTAGACCCCCGAAAACTCAAGTATCCGGGGTCCCAGGCCACGACTAAAGCAAACAACAAATATCTTAGTGCTCTTCTGCAATAACAATAAAAATCCATTTATTTTACATTTTAGTGAATATAATAAGCATAAGACAAGTACATAGTGTTTCCTTGGGTAAGAATTTGTACTAAAAATCAGAGCAATGGGAAGTGGGACATATTGCAAGTTCATTTGTTTAATAATTTACGTGCACTGGTGTTTTTACCTGTGAATATGTCTGTGCGAGGGTGTTGGAGTCCCTGGAACTGGAGTTAGACAGTTGTGAGCTTCCATGTGGTTGCTGGGAATTGAACCCAGGTCCTCCGAAAGAACAGTCAGTGTTCTTAACCGCTGAGCCATCTCTCTAGCCCTAGCAACTTTAAATATGACAATTTGAGTGAATATGTTAAACAAGTCATTTCTATGTAGTTGTCTCGAGAAAAATCCATATCTCCCAATATAAGTGTATTGTGAGCACGACTTTATGGCTGTACTTCCTCTGAGATTACTCTTTAAAAGATATTTACTCTTATGTGTAGGTGTTTGCCCAAATGTATGCAGATACTCCTGGTGTGTGTGTAGGAGCCCATGGAAGCCAGAAGAGCAATGGAATTCCCTGGAATTGAAGTTACAGTTGGGAGACATCATGTGGGTGCTGGGAATCAAACTTGGGTCCTCTGCACGAGCAGAAAGAGATCCTTACTGCCGAGCCTTCTCTTTAGTCTCAGAGATTACTCTTTATTGTAGAAATTAAAAAAAAAATTGGTTCCAAAATTTGCCTACAGGGACTCATTTTCATAATAGTTTTATGGTGATTCTCTCTCTCTCTCTCTCTGTATCTATCTATCTATCTCTCCCCCCTCTCTTTTGAGACAGGGTCTTTCTCTCTGGCTGTCCTAGAACTCACTATGTCGACCAGGCTGGCTTTGAACTCACAGATCTCTTGCTGCCTCTGTCTCCAAGCACTGGGATTAAAACTGGGATTAGCAGCCTTTACAGTGATGTCTATAAGTTCACTCACAAATGTGGCATATTTTCCCTTTCACCCTCTTTTAAAGAGAATCTACACTCTTAGGTATTTTCTGCAGGTGTAATCAAAGAAAAATCTATAGGAGCATACGTTTAAAGTAGCAATAACCAAGACCTGCAACTCATGTTGGAGAGGTAGGGGAAGAATGGGCGAGGCAGTGGACTCCTAAGCATGCTTTATGTGTGAAGCATGTAGACAGGCAGTCTTTACAAACAGTCTTTAAATGGCTCAGGTGTTGGAATGCCATTAATTGGTAAACTGTCTTGTGCTCTTTAAGCCAAGAAGCTGAAGCTGGAGGCAGGGCTAGCTGTGCCCCTTCTGGGCCAAGCATCCTAAAACTCCCATCTCCCCTGTGCTGAGTCAGCCTGGTCTGTGGCTCTGTAGCAGGAAGAGAAAAGCAGAAAGAAATAAACACAAAAACAAAACAAAAATGGTTGTGTCCTTGAGAACTGCTAGAAAGTGAAGCAATTCCAACAGAAGTTACTGTTACTGTTATAACAATGCCTAGAGTGAAAATAGCCAGAAATCGGTTGTGGGAAGCTTAGCAGTGAACAAGCGATGGGCTCTTGAGATTCTCAATGGTGACAGCTGGTTCTGTTTCCGGGGCTTCCCCCGTCAGTTTCTGCTGGTTGACTGTAAGCGCCTGACCCGATGATATTTCTACCTGCTGTTACTTGTTCTTTCACACGGAAGCCTCACCTCTGATCAGGAACTCTAGGTTGTTGTCTCAGTGAGGATTCTTGGTGACTTCTGATGGATATTTAAGTTCCTGATTTGACCCTACCTTTTCTTTGCTCTCTCAATTGGGCTACCCCAGTTGTCTCTCTGCAGGATGTTTGTAGCACCTAAGTTAATGATATTTTGTTATTTGTTGCTTCTATCTCCTACTGGCTATTTAATATCTTATTTTATACTTAACAAACTCATTGAAGGCTACTATAGATCAGTCTCCAGACAGCATAGGAGTCTAGGAAGATACTCACTTTCTGGAGCATCTTTTCCTTGTAAGGAATGTTGCTTTGGGTGAAGATCAGGGTATTGAAAGATTTAATTCAATGTCTATATAGTAAATTTAAGTAAAAAAAAAACACTCTTGCAGAAATGTAAAAGTATTATAGTCATTATGGAAAACAGTATGGAAGTTCTCCCCAAAATAAAATACTGTAGTATCAACTTCGGGGTATTTATCCAAAGATAATTAAATCAGTCTGTCAAAGAGATACCTGCATGCATGTATATATGTATATATATATATATATATATATATATATATATATTTTAACATTACTATATATAGTATATAAATATGCATATCAAAACATCACACTGTGCAACATACATATAATTTGTCAATTAAACCTTAGCAAAGCTAGACCAAACCTTATGCTGTTTGTAAACTTCCAAACAGATGAAAATTTCCACCATAAATAAGAAGATAATATGCAGAGTTTACATTTGGAAGAAACCCTAAGAAGTGCTGTTATTTCCGGCGAAAACTCAAGAGTTTGAGATAATACTACTTCTCTACGTTTCCAGGAACTTAAAGGAAAATAAGCCACTTTTGTCGTTGCTGTTCATTTCTTGCATTTGAAGTACTCTTCAATGACGTCTTTAGCCTGAGACTCTTCGCCATAGTTCTTAACCACCACACAACTGCAGCCTATCACTTTACGGGGTTTCCCCTTTCGGTCAGTTTTGCAGAGGCCTACCCACTCCCCTAGTTTCTTGTTGTCATCAACCTTAATTAGGTTGATTTTGTGCTCAGAACAAAGGGATTCCACCAACTTGATGTACATAGGTTTATCACAGTTGGATGCAAGCACGCAAAGATGGGCTTGGCGCTTGCCTAAGGCTTTGGCAGCTTCATGAATTCCTCGTGCCAGGCCATCGTGGACCAGGGCGGTCTTCAGCACCTCTTCCAAAGCAGTGTTGACGTCCATTTCGGTTCCAGCAGCAGCAGCAACTCCAGCAGCAGCAGCAGCAGCAGCAGCAGGGCCTTCCATGGCCATGGCGGGGGGTTACAGGTGGATCCGATCTGAATCTGGAGCGCACGCGAGCCTCTGAGCAGGAGCGCGGAAGCAGGGAACGTTTCCAGGGACTTCAGGGACCATTCAACAACCATCCAAAACTACTTAACTTCCAACCTAAGTCGCAGGAGGTAACGAATCCCCAGTCCTGCGGAGGCGGAAAGGTGGTCGGTCAGGCGGCCACCTAGAGGACAAAAATTAGAGGGCACCTCAGGTACCAGGCATGCTCCGTGTGACAGGTGGCTCGCGGTGAGCATGGGTGAGCTTTCTCGTTATTGTTACGTAATCTTGACTGTTTCTGCCAGCAGGCATCTGGGGAAAAGTGGACCGCCCCCGTAGACTGCTCCAGGATCTACAACCACTGCGACGCCGCAACCTGCACCAGCGTCCTGAGCTCTCGCTTCATCGATCTCTCACACAAATTTTGCGTTGGCCGATTCGCCACTACTCGGTGTTAGAATTTAACACGAAAAAAAACCCTACCTCGAATCTTAATACACGAGAAGGCTTTAGTGTTCAGAAACGTGGAATCAGGAAACGATTTTTGTCCCTAATTTTTTTTGTTATAGTTGCGGCGTCCG